AGCCCCCTCTGTGACAGTACATTTATAGTACCGGGTTCTCTTTAATTAGACATCAGCCGTCTCTTAAACCCCCGATGTCTCCCCTGCATTTCTCTGAAGATAACAGACTGTAGATCATGCTGCATTGGCTGCTTTTCTGGCCAGAACTGCTGGGAAAGTGACAGCCAAAACCAGAAGTGATACATGATGCTTCCAGATTCTTACTAGTTAGAGGAGATCAGCAAATGGATGTTCTCTGGTCTCCCTCTCCTCTACAAGGTGACCCTCCCCATACGGGTCTCAGGCCCAGAGGTGGAATAGTGGAGCCTAGAAAACAACGAGGGGGGAGTCACACATATGGGGGTCCATAGAAGCTGCCGGACCGCTTCTAACCTAAAGCCAACAGTTACTTGTGATGTTTGCACACATTTCCAGAGGCTGTAGTAACCGGGAGTGTAACCCCCCCAATGCTGCTGCTGACATATGAAAAATTAGGACTATATGTTTGTAGCTCCCAGTAGGCTACTGCTGTGTAAATGTATTTTTGGCCTCCCTGTAGTCAGGAAGAGCAACAATTGTTTGGTGAAGTATGTTCTGGGTTTTGGTGAAGGCTTGGTTACTTCCCCTGTATCCCAGGGTGTTATGAGACATAGAGGGTGGAAGAACACAGTTCCTGTCCTGCGTATTAATTCCTCTGACCAATCGCTGGTCAGCATGGTGAATGACCAGCAGGGGGCTGCGAGGGGTATAAATAGGCTGGAACCCAGAGCAGAGCTCTCTTGTCCCTGGGGGAGGAAGACTCAACCTGAGGGCTGTGGCATCCCTGGGAGATCTATCTGCAGCTCTAAGAATCCTTTTGGGGTCCCGGCTTCTGTTTGGTTGGGGGACCTCTGGCCTGTTCACCTGAAAACTTGCAGAGAGTGCAGAAAGTGATACTGCCGGTGGCTACACAGTATTCAGGACACTGGAGGGGTGGTGTGTGTGTGTGTGTGTGTGTGTGTGGGGGGGGGGGGGGGTATTTTGCTAAGGGCACATACAGTCAGGTCCATAAATATTGGGACATTGACTCAATTCTAAAATTTTTGGCTCTATACACCACCACAATGGATTTGAAATGAAACAAACAAGATGTGCTTTAACTGCAGACTGTCAGCTTTAATTTGAGGGTATTTACATCCAAATCAGGTGAACGGTGTAGGAATTACAACAGTTTGCATATGTGCCTCACTTGTTAAAGGACCAAAAGTAATGGGACAATTGGCTTCTCAGCTGTTCCATGGCCAGGTGAGTGTTATTCCCTCATTATCCCCTCATTATCCCAATTACAATGAGCAGATAAAAGGTCCAGAGTTCATTTCAAGTGTGCTATTTGCATTTGGAATCTGTTGCTGTCAACTCTCAAGATGAGATCCAATGAGCTGTCACTATCAGTGAAGCAAGCCATCATTAGGCTGAAAAAAAAACAAAACAAACCCATCAGAGAGATAGCAAAAAACATTAGGCGTGGCCAAAACAACTATTTGGAACATTCTTAAAAAGAAGGAACGCACCGGTGAGCTCAGCAACACCAAAAGACCAGGAAGAAGACCACGGGAAAACAACTGTGGTAGATGACCAAAGAATTCTTTCCCTGGTTGAA